CCCAGGACACAGACACCAGCGGCCTGGGCACCGCAATGCCCTGGCTCCCTGAGTTCCAGAGCCAGATGCCCAAGGCCGAGCGAGGACGACAGAGAACAGAGCCCAGATTTGGGGGACCAGAGGACAATGTGCGAGCCCCAACTCCATGGCTCTCTGGTCGGCAAAGGGGAGCACCCCTGCTGGAGTGGAGTCGGACACGACCCAGATCACTATTTTGTTCCTCACTGCGCAAGCAGGAAGCTGAGGTTCACAGAAGCAAACAGACCAACACCAGAAACCTCAGTGCCAGCTGGGCCACGAGCTACTTCCTCCTCAAATCCTCTGGCAAGTGCCTCTGCCGTCCTCAGAGCCCGTGCTGGGCAGTCCCACACCCACAGGCCGTGCCCTGTGCGCCCGGAGCAAAGGCCTTGGACCTGGGCACCAGGCCCTGGGCACCAGAGCAGAGGCCTCGGCCGGGGCTGTCACACACGGAGCCCAGATTTTAGCTCAGTTTTGCGGTGTTTCCACGTCATCTTCCAGGTCAGATCCATATAATCCTTCACTTCTCTCCCCACCTTCCTCTTTTTTTCCCTCTAATATTTTCTTTTAAAAAATACAAAGACATTGTTCTCTTCCCCTTCACATTTCATTAAATGTTAAAAAAAAAAAAAAAAAAAAAAAAAAGACAAAGAATTGCTCACTTGAGACCATTTCCATCGTCAAAGAAAAAATACTTTGTTTTCATATCTTTCAACAGCAGCTTCGGATTATCACCTCTCAGAACAATCTTGTCCCAAAGGACAACCTGGTTCAGAGCCTACAAGAAAACGGAAATAATTAAATTAACTCAGCAGAAATAGCATCTCTGTCAATTCAAATCAGAAGTGTTGGTAAGCAACTATCAATAATTCATTACCAATGAGCCCAACTCCGAGGGGATTGCTGCGACCATCAGCCCTCAGCCCAGTGTGAATCCTGCACAGATCACTGCTGCCCCCGCCATCTATGTACTGCCAACCGTTTTCAATCGCCAAGCATAACTAAATACAGCCTTTACTATTTTTCTTTAAAGTTACACACAGGCACATCATTGCTTTATTTCGGCAAAATTCAAGAAGTCAGACAGCCTTTCAAGCCGCTATTCTGACACAGCATAAACCTATTGTCAGGCAAATCAGGAGTATGAAATGGAGTAAAAGCACATGTGTGATCACAACCAAGTCCCAAGACTGTGTCCTCCCTCAGCTACCACTCACAGCTTGTGAGGCCGACTGCTGAGCATGTGACGTCCAACTAACAGAATGTGACTCGTTATTCCCAAAAGAGGGTTCCAATCGCCATCCTAAGTCTCTTTCTGAGACTAAACAGGAACGTCCCAACGGAGGGACAGAGTCCAGCATATGCGGGAGAGAAGTGACTGTCTGTGAGAGTTCACTCCTTCACTGAAGTCACAGCCTGCCCCGTTCCACACTGTGCTAACTCACTGGCCATGCTGGGGACCAGGCTCTGAATGCAACGTAGGTGCCTCTGTCACCAGGAAAGGCCTGTTGTTTGGACGATGTGCTGAGCCTTGAATAGCATGTGTTTCCAGTTGCTACTCTCATCCTCAACGGCCTTTCCTGTTTTAACACGTAGCTGACTCTCAAGGGCAGGAAGCACCTTCCTCCCAGGCCTAACAAAACATCTGGTATAAAAGATATGCCCCAATTAATGTGCTGTACCATTAACTGACTGCAGTGCTAAAAATGACATTGAATTACAAAACTAATCAATAGAAAGAGTTGGTGAATTTGTCATCTCTTGAAAATGAATACACCTCCAATGAAATAGAGAAGTATTATAGACTCCTTTCTAACTACAAACCACCTCAGTATGCAGACAGCAAACATAGGTACTTAGGTAACAGCCACACAGTTACTGTAGTTCGTTTTAATTCTACAGATTTCACATTTGTGCTTTACTTCACTTATCAGAATCATTTACTTTATCCTTTAGAACCTAAGACCTCAGTTTTAGTAACATTCTGTAGTTATACCTCATTTATTTTTACCTTACTCTAGCTACAACAAAAGCTTGAAATCAGACTGAACTAAAAAACTCGTATCATAAATTAACTGTTTTAATATATTTTAATGTAATAGTTTAATAACTTCTAATGACAAGATCTGATAAACTCTAATATTTGATTAAAAAAAGACTACCTTAAGTACTCAAATTGGATCCCATACAACTCCAAAACAAATAAAAATTCTAAAAACAGTTATTTATTAACTGCATAGGTATGGCTTCATACACTATCAAAACAGCTCAAACTATATATATGTGTGTGTGTGTGTGTGTGTGAATGTATATATAGTTGGGTTATAAAATAACCTCAGAAATGCTCAAATATAATTACCTTTAGGTCTGGGTAACCAGAGTTATAAGCACAGACCACAAATTTCATTGATTCAAATGTCTTGGTATGTATCTTCCTAATTATAGCTGTCTGGAGAGAATATTTCAGCTCAAAGAATCCTACAGCTGGCCCTGGCCTGGATGGCTCAGTGGATTGGGAAATATCCAATCCTACAGCTGGGTGCAATGTCCTCTCCATCGCCTAATGTGCTCCCAGTGCAGCAGCGCCTTCCTGAAGGTGTCACTGAGCGGCCTCCATGGGTTTCCCATCACACACCTTTTGAACAGAAGCCCCTCAGTAGTCGCCTTTCTTTACAAACCCAGTCCTCAGACACCTGCTGTTCCCTCAATCGCAGCACCATCGGCAGAGTGCCTCCCAACCAGCTCCTGCCCAGCCGTTTCCTCCGCCAGCTTCTCACAGATCCAGGTTCTTGGTTTCTCATCCGTTAGTAAAGTGGCTGAGCAGCTCAGAGGACCCAGCACGGGAGCTGTGCCAGGCTCCTGTGCCATGTGCGTGGGCCACGGGCATTCCCTTCACCGCTGAGAGCTTCACAGGGATCTTTGTAAGCCGTCCTGCCATCATGTGAGGATTCGTTTCTTTAGAACTGGACAACACAAGCCACTCCACTCTGCACAACGCCGCGGGTCCGGAAGGAATGAATGAATGAATGAATGAATACACAGAGAGCCAGCCGCTCAGCCTCCTGCCTCCGGAATTCCTCGCTGCCTCCACAGTCTGAGTTCACACACATCTTAGGAAGCACGTAGCCAACTCCGATTGGGGATTGCATGTTATTGTCTGTCCACGTACAGTATGATTCAAGTGTAACTGCTTTCCCTTTTCAGTTTACATTGAGGAACATACAAACAGATGTGCCGTTTTCGGAATGGCGTGTAAGCCAGTAAGAAGGCGACCAGACAGACACTGCAGCGCTGCGTCCCCAGGACCAGCAGCTCGCTCTTACGCCCAGGGAGACCCTCCATGCGCCCGAGCCCACAGGCCTCAGCACGGCTGCCCCGGGCTGGTGACTCCTCCTGAACTACTCAGGTCAGCTGTTTTGAATATTCAAAAATGTATATTTTTCATAAAAAATAAGATGTTACATATCTACTAAAATACTTATGTACTTACATTATTTTTTGTTGAATATTCTGCTGATAAATAAAGAAACAGCTGCTTAACATTCCAATCAAATATATTCTCTAGATGTAAACAAATTAAGGAATATATAAACCATAGGGCAGCATACAGCTTTAAAACAATCTTAGTAATGCTAAGTATTCACAGCAATACGAACACCAAAATAGAGAAAAAGTGGCCAGAAACATACCGAGCCACTAATTCAATGAAAACACATGAGAGAAGAGTATTTCATTTCTCAAGAACGATTTCACTGCAGTTCCAAAGTATAAACAATCATCCCAATTTAACTGTAATGATATGCAAACATCAACGACACGCAGGTAATTAAGTCAAGTACAATAAATAGTACTGATATACTAGTATTCTAAGTGTACCAGATTTTTTTCACTAGATGGAGTTACACATATATTGATATATAGGCGATTTGATATGTCTATTTTTTTGTATTAACAAGCTTCAAAATTTCATGTCAAATTTTCTGAAGGTATGAACATATTTTTACGCTCAAAGGTGTCAAATTTTGTGCCCAAAAAGAGCATTTGCAGGAAGTTTTAATTCATTATTTTGAAGAAAAGAGCTGCTGAATACTTTGGGGAAGCTTATGGTGAACATGCTCCATCTCCAAGACACTGTGAACACTGTTTAAACACTGAAAGTGATGTTTTTGATGTGAAAGACAAAGAACGTCCAGATCAACCGAAAAAGTTTGAAGACCAACAATTACAAGCATTATTGGATGAAAATGCGTGTCAAGCTAAAAAACAACTTGCAGAAAGCTTAAACATTGCTCAGCAAACAATTTCAGACTGTTTACAAGCAATAGGAAAGATTTTAAAGGAAGGAAAATGGGTGCCACATCAACTGAATGAAAAACAAATGGAAAACCGAAAAGTCATCAGTAAAATGTTGATTCAGCGGCACGAAAGTAAGTCCTTTTTTTTTTTTGCATCAAATTGTGACTGGCAATGAAAAGTGGATTTCATTTGAGAATCCCAAATGCACAGAATCATGGGTTGATCCAGGTTAACCATCAACATCAACTGCAAGGCCAAATCCCTTCATTAAAAAGACAGTGCTCTGCGTTTGGTGGGATCAGGAAGGTGTGGTGTATTATTAACTAGGTGAAACCGTTAATATTGATGGCTACTGACAACAAATAACCAATTTAAACCACACACTGATCGTGAAACGACCAGAATGGGCCAGAAGATACGGCAAAGTAATGTTGCTTCATGATGATGCACCATCACACACTTCAAAACCAGTTAAAGACACGTTAAAAGGTCTTGCCTGGGAAGTAAGAACCACCCGCTGTGTTCACCAGACCCTGCTCCTTCAGATGACCACTTGTTCTGATCGATGGCACATGCCCTGTCTGAGCAGAACTTCAAAATGTACCAAGAAGGGGAAAATTGGGTCCCAAATCAGTAAACAGCATGCATGTCATCGGCGCACCACAGGAAAGGCAATGAGCCCTTGCTCAAAGGATATCTGCCGTGATGTCAAAGTTAATGAACCCCAGGTCACTCTTTTCTCTGGGTCCCGTGAAGTCTTCCACATTTTTCCTAGAAGTAAAGAGAAAAGCTTCACCATCCTTTGGACATGTCAACATACAAAACGCACATCATTCCTAGGGATACAGTTGTGTGCACAGGGGAAACAGCAATTCCACAAAGAAACAAGTGAGTACCAGGATCAACTTCCTAATCTATACTAATAATCTATACTAATAAAAGGGTAGTATGCAAATTGGTCATGACGCCCTCACAGTAACGACTGAATATCAGGCTGCGTGGGGCAACCAGGCCGGCAGGCTGGGCAGTTAGGGGCAATCAGGCAGGTGAGGTTAGGAGCAGTCGGACATCTCCCGGATTGGAGAGGGTACAGGCTGGGCTGAGGGGAACCCTCCTCCCGCGTGCGCGGATTTTATGCCCCGGCCTCTGGTTCGATATAAAAGCCTGTTTCCGTGTACCTCCAGAGAACCCCTAACAAACCCGGGGCGATGCAGACGGGGCGAGAAAGTGTGGACACATGAGGAGCGCCATTTGGTGGAAGGTGGGGGGAAGGGGCCCGCCTAAGGGGAGGGTGCTGACTGAGGGTCTGTGTTCCGTCCACCGTTTCCTCGATCATCTCAGTGTGCAGAGTGGGGCGGCACTCCCACTGAGACAAAAGGGAACTGAGGCCCAGAGTTAAAAGGCACTGGCTCCAAACCGACAAACCTCACAGCTGCTGGCTGTTTACAGTGCAGAGCTCCACACCGCCTCCCACCCCAGGCTGGCCAGGGCAGAGGTCAAGTCCACCCAGACCCGAGTTCGGAACCTACAGCACAGTATCTAAGGAACACCCCTTAGCAGGGAAATAAAACCAAAAACAAAGCATAAGCGCGGGGAGGAGAGGGGGCGACCAGCTTGCTGGCGCTTCTGGCCAGTAGAAAACTGCGGCAAACTCTGGGGAGATGGGGGAGACGGAGGGAGGGGAAGCGGGGGAGACTGAGCCACAAGCGGGAAGTGCGGCACAGGCCCCGCCAGGCCGGTGCCCGCGGCGCTCCGGAGCGTCTGGCCTCCCCGCGGGCTGGTTCCCGGGCTGGTTCTCCGAACAGGAACCGACGGCCCATCCCCGGCCCCGAACCGGCCCGGCCCGGCCCGCCCGCCCGCCCGCCAACCAGAGCAGCCGGGAGCTGACAGCCCGACGGGGGGACGGGGGACCCGCCGGGGCCGGGACCAGGGACCAGCGGCCGGGAGGGCGGGCCGGGGGCGCGGGGACCCGAGATCGGGGAACCCAGAGGGGACCGGGGGCCCAGCCGGGAACCGGGGGCCGGGGGACCGGAGGGAGCGGCCGGAGGGCGGGCCGGCGCGGCGCCGGCTGGTGTGGAGCTCCCCCATTGGCCGGCGGGAGGAGGCCGGGAAGGAGGCAGCCCGGCTGCGGCAGCTGCAGCCCATTTCAGACCCGGGGAGCCGGGGGCCGGGGAGGGGAGCCGGGGGCCGGGGAGGGGAGCCGGGGAGCCGGGGAGGGGAGCCGGGGAGCCGGGGAGGGGAGCCGGGGAGCCGGGGAGGGGAGCCGGGGGCCGGGGAGGGGAGCCAGGGAGCCGGGGAGGGGAGCCGGGAGCCGGGAGCTGGGGAGCCGGGGAGCCGGGGAGGGGAGCCGGGGAGCCGCAGGGGGGAGCCGGGAGCCGGGGAGCCGGGAGCCGGGGAGCCGGGGAGGGGAGCCGGGAAGGGAAGCCGGGAAGGGGAGCCGGGAACCGGGAACCGCGGGGGGGGAGCCGGGGGCCGGGGAGGGGAGCCGGGGGGGAGCCGGGAACCGCGGCGGGGCAGGGGCGGGGGCGGGGGCGGGGGCCGCCCGGGGCCGGGGCCGGGGCCGGGGCCGGGGCCGGGCCGGCGCGCTCACAGCATGATCCGCGAGACGTGCAGCCGCACCGGCACGCTGCGGTCCTTGAAGGCGGTGGTGATGAAGCAGCCGAAGGTGAGCGCCGCCATCACGCTCAGCGAGAAGGCGAACAGCGAGTTCGCCCGCGACAGCACCGTGTTCATCGCGGCCGAGCGCCCGCAGCGCGGCTCCCGGGACCCCGTTCCGGAGGCGGACCGGCTGCCCGCGATCCGCGCCGCCCGCGCCCCGCGGCCCCGCCTCCCTTCCGGTCCTCCGGCCGGAGCGCGTGCGCGGGCCCGCCCTACTTCCGGTCTACCGCCTCCGCCAATCAGCGCCGCGCAGGGGAGGGCTCCTCCGCCAATCAGCGGCGCGCGGGGGAGGGCGGGGCTTCGCTGCGTACGCAGACCCGCCTCCTCCGCCCGGGCGGGCCCCCCTGGTCCCAGGCGGGTACTGGCTCCCCGGGGCCGCCGCCAGGGGGTCGGGGCGGGCTGGGGGGCCGCCCGGGCGCCGCTGCTGGGCGCTGAGATGCAGCCGGAGAGTTTGGGGTGTCCCCTGGCGAGTCGCGGCTGGAAGCAGCGCTTGACCGCCCGCGGGGTCCTCCTGCCTGGGTCACTCGGGTCCAAAAACTGATGCCTCTTAGGAGGGGGGGGCCCGCAAATGCCTCATCCCCCACCCCCATTCCCCCACCCCCACCCCGTGCACCTTCCACTTTCGACCGCGTCCACTTCCTGTGGCAGCTGGAGCGGTTTTCGGCGTTAACGGTTGGCGCTGCAGATTCTGGGAGGTGCATGTCCCACGGGGTTTCCTGTAACTGACTTCACGGGGCTCTGAAAACCCAAGGCGATCAGCGACCCTGAGACTGCTGTGCAGTTTGTGTAAGAATTTAAAATCAGCAAGGCCTCGGTATTTTTTTTTTAATATTTTTATGGGTTTTTAGAGAAAGGGATAGAGAGAAAAGTCCAAAAGAGAGGAGCATCATCATTTGGCTGCTGCCTCACACTCCCTCCTGGGCATGGAGCCTGCAACCCGCATGTGTTGTGACCTGGAATTGAACCTGTGACCTCTTGGTTCCTGGGTGGAGACCCAACTGCTGAGCCACACGTGCCGGCCGAGGCATCGGTGCTTCCTGGCCCTGGGGGGCTGCAGGCTCTGACTGTGCCAATCGTTAGCCTTGGAGGTCGCAGGCAGACTCCTTTCAGAGCTGTGGGTTTGGGTCATTGTAAAAGACCCCGGAGGCTCCAGGAATCTAGAACAAACTGGGAAATGGTCTGCCCTGGTGCTGGTTTTTGCCGTCCCGTTAACGAGCCCTTGTTTCTTTGCATTATTCATTATGCAATTTCGTACAGCCTTGCTGTTGGGATTATCACTGTGTGCCAGCTCCAGCTTGAGAGAGCACAGCACCAATAAGGGGACACCCCTGTCAAGTCGGAAGAGAGCCCGCCATGAAAAATGGAGAGACCCTAGGTTGAGTTTAAAGTTTTTTTTTTGTCTTCCAGACAGCCACAGCTTATTCAATAAAACAACTGTTTATTGAATGCCTACCGTGTTGCTAACTGTACAGAGATGTATAACAATCACTTTCTATCCTCATGGAGCTTATAATCTACTAGAGTTCATAAAAACACAAACCTGAAACAAAGCATAAATACCAAGGAGGTTACAGAGTGTTGTGGACTTCAGAGGAAGAATTTACGTCTGTGGCAATGTGGGACCAAGCAGGGTCTGTGAAATATTCAGCACAGAGTCTGAACTATGTGGATTAGGTATTCTTACGGGGCGAGTTAAAGGTGTTGATGTCCAAGGATAGTATTCCAAAAGAGACAGTATGGGTATGTGAGATACGTATGGGTATGTGAGATATGCGGTAGTGTGATCCAGCTAAATTATCTGCATCCTATCTAATAAAAGAGTAATATGCAAATTGACCATCACTCCAACAAACAAGATGGCTGCCCCCATGTGGACACAAGATGGCCACCACAAGATGGCCAACAGAGGAGGGCACTTGTGGGGGATCAGGCCAGCAGGGGAGGGCGATTGGGAGGGACCAGGCCTGCAAGGGAGGGCAGTGATGGGCGATTGGGAGGGACCAGGCCTGCAAGGGAGGGCAGTTATGGGTGATTGGGAGGGACCAGGCTGGCAGAGGAGGGAAGTTGGGGGCAAACAGGCTGGCAGGGGAGCAGTTAGATATCAATCAGGCTGGCATGGGAGTGGTTAGGGGGAGATCAGGCTGGCAGGCAGAAGCAGTTAGGGGCAATCAGGAAGGCAGGCAGGCGAGCAGTTGGGAGCCAGCAGTCCTGGATTGTGAGAGGGATATCTGACTGTCAGTAGGATCTGGCCTAAATGGGCAGACAGACATCCCTGAGGGGTCTCAGATTGGAGAGGGTGCAGGCTGGGCTGAGGGACACACACACATACCCCATGCACGAATTTCGTATACCAGGCGTCTAATAGTAAATAAAAGCCAAGTGACTAGAACAACCAGAATGACCGGTCGCTGTAATGTGCATTGCCAACCACCCGATTGGGGCCCCAATCACCCCCTCTCCCAACCTCCTGTGGCCCCTCCTGGCCCGGCCCCTAATCGGGCCCCCACACACACACACCCGATGGGGGACAGGGACGGATAGCCAACCACCCACTGCCCCTCCTCCCCCTGGCCTGGCCCTGATCTGCCCCCATGGGGCAGGCCAGCCAGACCCCACCTGTCACAAATTTGTGCACCAGGCCTCTGGTGTAAGTATAAAGGATTAGGCAGAAATGAGGCTAGAAAGGCAATGTAAATTCCTACTGCAGAAATGTCAGCCAAGCAGCCCAGACTTTATGTCACAGGAAATTACTATTCAAGAGAATCAGAGATCTGTGCTCAGAGACCTCAGCTCCTGGTGCTCAGAAGCCTCAGCTCTGGATGCTGGATTTGCGCCAAGGTGTCCTCACTGTCAGGGTGCGTGGCGGGAAGTGGGAAGCCCCGCTCAGGTGACTGGAATATGTGAGGAAAACTGAAACCCTCGAGGCACGGATCCTGCTTCCTGTTCTCATGGTGCGTCATCCTGCAGAGTCAGTCATCACCGGGTCTGTGACACTGTAGGAGCAGGTGAACTGAGGGGCTTGTGACTTGGCTCAGGCTCCGTGACAGACGCCAGAAGGTGGCCTGGCTCTGGGCCCCGGTTTTACCGTAAAGGCTTCGGCGCTCCGGAGTGTCCCCAGGACCGCGGTGAGTCAGGCAGCTGTCAGCCCGAGACCGGACTGACCCCGGCCGCTTCGCCTGCTCATTCATGGAAGGCGGGCTCACTGTAAGCTGCCGCATTTAGCAGCTGCTGAATGTGGTCACTTCGCAGGGAAAGATCCCTCGTGGTTCTTGCCAGAAAGATCCCAAGCAGAAAGCAGGGAGCAGATCACGTGATCCTCCTCGGGAAGGGAAATGAAGACCAAGAAAGAGCAAACCCTGTGTCAGCCTGCAGCCCCCACCTCTCCCTTTCCTCGCCACTGAGCCTCTGGGCATGGACAGGATACAGAGGGGGGGTCTGCATTGCCTTGGGTTCAAAGAGTGAACTTGACATTCTCCTACTAGCCTAGGGCCTGTGTTTTTGAGAAAGGAATTACTGCTTCTGTGTGTAGCATCTGTTAAAAGTTACTTAAATATATTTATTACAGAATTCCTAGAATAAAATAGGTAGGTGATGGAGATGTAGAATGTTTCTGATGTTTATATTAACTCTAAGAGAACTAATTCTTGGCAAATTTTTTCTCTAAGGTCAGCTTTTCTAGCCACCTAACCTTGGCATGTTACATGTATTTCCTGGTAAACACTAGGAAGGTGTTTCGATGTTTCTAACTCTGTAAGAGTTTCTAACTCCCTCCCTTCCTCTCTGTAAGAAAATCAATAAAATATATTTTAAAAATAAAAATAAAAAAAATAATAAAATAAAATGGCATCTGGTTTTGAGACTTTCAGATGTGCGTGATGGAGCCTGCTGAACCAAAGGCAGCGCCGAGGGAGGGCGGCCATGGTCTGTGGTCTTCAGCTGCCTCAGTTCAGAGCACAGAGCCTGGCTGAGTGTGGGAGAAAGCCCCTCACTCCCCACTCCCCACTCCCCACCCCCCAACGAGCCTGCATGCAACCTCAGTAAGTGACACTGTTACGCCCAGACTCCATGACCCCCAAGGACCACCAGGGAGCTGAGTCCGATGCATGCTAGCATGAGCTCTGTCCCACTCACGCCGACAGGCAGCATGGCGGAAGAGAGCGAATTTCGCCAAGCCCGGGGTTTTTACACCGGTGGCGATGTCACTGCTTCAGCTGACCCTGATTGGTTGGGTGAGGGCTAGGGTCCAGCTACACAAATTGTAGGATAACTCCCTCCTGCTCCACAGTGGAGTCCGGAATTCAGCCTCACCCCGCCCTGCCCTCTCAACACCTCGGTGCAATTTGTTTTTCTTGTGGATCCTCATAAAGCTGGTGGCAACTGCCCTCTCCTTCCATTACCCGACTGGATGGCAGCAGGAAGAGTGTGCCCCCAGGGGTGCGTTCAAGCAGAATGGACTTGCTCTCTCTCCGGCTGCCCTTGTGGAGAGGGACTGCTGCGATGATGATGGTCTCCGATGAAGTAGGTCTCCGATGATGACGGTCTCCATGGGTGTGCATTCCTCATCCACAGGGAGGACACCTCACAGGCCCCGAGGCATCCGCACCTGAGCTGGGAGCCAGCACGTTGTCTGGGGGTGTGACATCACAGTGTTTCCTCCACTCCAGGAGCCACCGCCAGGCGCTCAGCGTGACCTCGGCTAACTGTTTCCATGACATGGCTTTGGGAAAGGGAAGACACACTAATTAAATAGGGTCTGCAGCCTCTGCCGAATGGAATAAGGCAAATTCGGTCGTTAAGTCCCTTGTTTCAAGGCGCAGTGTAAACATTTCTGTTTTTATTTCACATCCCTAGGTGGCCCAAGCATGAAAGGCTCCAGGGTGTTCTAGCCAGCAGAGATGCTCATCTGCCTTCCTATTTTCCTCATGAGGTTTTGCAAAATAAAAAGAGTGAGGGTTATAACAGCACCGCAGAGAGCTATCCTCCTATGAAAACAACCACCATAATGTTTCCCTTTTCATTGTGTCAGCCATCAGTGACCTTCTGCATACCAGCCAACAGCCTTCGTGTGCAGGGCC